GAACAGTTCTCCAACAACTAATAAGCCTGGGTTCTTTCATTCAATAAATATTATTGTGTCAGACACTGGGGATGCCATAGTGTGTAAAACAAAGTTTCTGCCCTCGTGCTGCTTAAATTCTATAAAAAGACACACAATGCACTACAAATATGGAATGTATGAAACCATTTCAGCTCTTTCTTCAGTCCATCAAAGACAAACACATGGTGCTTTGGTCACAAGTAGACCCAACAAGCACCTACCATTCACAGCAGAATCCAAAGCACCAGATGGCCGGACTTTTAAGATAGAATATGGAGGCAGAAAGGAGATCCTAGGCACAGACAGCCCAAAGATACAACTTTTTAGGTTCTTCTGAGCCTTGGTTTTGGTCCACTGGCCCCAAATAAAGGAGTACAGAGTACATCAAGTCTTAAAAGCATGACGGAAAATTCTAAATCGGTGAGAATGAGCCTATTCATTTCAGAAACATTTATAGAGCAGCAATGTGTTAGAGATTACAAATTCTAGGATTTACTACAAGGGGATTAAACCTGTATGAGATATGTACAACTTACTTTTTCCCTTACATTACTCCTTGCTTCCCACGAAACTATATTCATAAACATTGACACTACCCCCCCCAAAAAAGTCACCAATGAAAAAACTCTGTAAACGTAGAGGTTACTAAAACATAACCTTTAACAAAGAAGAAGCATTAATCACTGCACTATGCTTTATATATTTTTATTTAACTAATTTTAAGTTAATTTAAAATAAACTATTTTGGTATATTTATTAAAATGTTTACCTACACCATGTTGGCCAGATCATAGCTTCATTATATGAAAGTGTCAGATTCAAACAGAAAATATAATTATTTAAACTTTCCCAGACACGGTAATTACACTTGCACGCTACTCACTCCCCCTTCAGAAGGCTGGGTTCAGATTTGTGAGACTATTGCTACTCTAGTCCTGTGTAGTCCTAGAAGCTGCACAGAAAGTTCAGCAGGCCTGGCCAACCGGGATCTGCCCCTTGTGGACCAAGAGACCCACAGCAAGCTCCTCAAACTCCAAACTTCCAGTGTTTCATCTGTAAAATGAGGATAGAAATAGCTCAACTCAATGATTCTCATGAGGAATAAAGGAGATAAAGCATGAAAGCAATCAGCTCAGGTCTGGCACGTTTCATCTCCCAGATTTAACTCGTTGGTAAAAAGGTAGTAACACCTACCAACAACACACAGTACCCACACAGGTACCCAGAAACATTACATCTCTTCCCCTATCAGTGGATAATATTCACATGTATAATTTTAGTCATTTTTCTTGTTCTGAAAAATGAGTTTGCAGTAAATGGCAATGTATATCAATAAGATCTAGGCAGGATTATTTTAAATACAAAGTTTGCAAGAAAATGTCTTCATGTCCTGACAGATAAGTAAATTTTGTGATGATGCTACTAGTTTCCTTCTTGGAGGCTTTCAACTACTAAAAAGTGGCAATAGTGCCATTCAAGCGAGAACATCTATTTCATACTTTCCTCTAAAAACCATTTCATTAGTGTTTATGCAAATCAGACCATCATTAACAGCATTTGCTAAAAATTCCATCTATCCTGAAGTTGAATTACATATGCCTATCTGAATTTTATTTCCATGATAGAGGCTAGCAACAAAAAACAATACAACTGTTATAGCTAGGAAGAGAGGGGGTTCTTCTGCTACTTTATGATCAGAAACACGTTAATGTAGTTCTGAATGGTAAGATTTGGCACAATTCCTAGAAATTAATGCCAGAAAGTGGTAGATAGGAATTTAATTTCTCCTACACTAGGTTGCCTTTTGGTAGTCATGAAATGAAGAAAAGAAAAAACCTTGCCAAAATGTTAGTAGAAAGAAAAAGCCATCAGTGGTTCAAATAATCCACTACTAAACATGGTTTTCAAAAGAGACGTAAGAAAACAACTACTTAATGCAGCTGATGAGGTAGTGAAACACAGGTACACCCAAAGAGGAGCTGGAACCGCTCTCAGCCTTTTCCACCGAAGAACCTTCTAAGGACAGAGATGCAACTTCATATTTGAATGCTTACTTCATTCACAAACTTCCTGGAGTTTATTACTATTGACTCATATAAGGTCATTTACTTTGCCCAAGTTTTTAAAATTTGCATTTTAAATAACTTATATAGGCATCAGTAAAAATTCTCAAGACCCCCACAGCAATATTTTGCTAATTATTTAAGGGATTTTAGTAAGGAGATACAGTAATGAAAATAAGTTCTTAAGCTAAAGCTTTCAGGCAAAATATACTACGAAAACTAAACTTTACTGATTTACAAGCCAAAAAAAAAAAAACCTCATTTCACAAATGATAAAGATAATAGAACTTTTAATTATATTGAAATTTAAAACAAGATTTTAGCAGAAAACTGTCTAAACTGAAAATGTTTAATTTCAAAAGTTAAAGACTTACATATTAAGACTTTGAATCTCATCTTCTGTTGTGTTACCCTTAAGACAATTATTTTCTCAAAATTAAGACACTTAAAATACAGAAAAAAAGGTTTCCATAAAATCTTTAGATATGAACTAAGATCCTCCTTCTCTAAGTCAATACTAACATCCAAAAAAGAATAGTAATTTTCAAAACTATTCTTTATTATACTGTAGAATATATACATACACAGAATATACTATAATTTTTTCTGTGGGAACTAATCAGTATTTTTTGTAAAAGGGATATCTTTAACAATACAATTTTGTTATTTAGACAATTTCCCCAACTTTCTAGCGAGAAAAGTTATGTGATTTGCTGAAGAACCCAATTTTAAGAATTGGGACATCAAGTTCTGTAATTTCCAACAATGGGCATGGCGTGATAAAGATATGATGTTAGTTAGAAATGTTTTAATGATCCTCACTGCAGCTCCTAACTTCTGGTTTCCCTGAACACCTCAACATTGTTGGACTCATGGAGCTTCACTCCTAATCTAACACAATTCACCTTCAACAGACCGCCAGCCTGAAAAGAGGCTGAAGTCCTATCTCCTCTAGGGCTCTGCCCCAATACTCTTTAAAGCCCCAAACCTTAAATACTAAGTTTTGGATTCAATGTCTTTATCCAAGGACTTGCTTCTTGATGCATCATCACCTCTGAACAATGTGTAGGTCCTTCTATTCAGTGCATGTACTCAAGTCTTAGGTTGATTGTGGGACCCTTTAAAAGAGCAATGTGTTTTCAACAGTCTTTTCCCAGTTTTCATTATTAAACTGGATTCTTTGATAACCACTGGAAAGATATTAGAGAATTTGTAATATTTGATCTTGCTGCTTCTACAACATTTAGTACACGAAAGTATTCAAGACACTAGTGGTAGGCTCAGGATTTCCCCTCCAAGGACAGCCACAAATATAAAACAATGTACTCATAAAGACACTGTAACACAAACTTTCTTTAAAAGTTTCACGTGTTTAAATATCACAGGATTTAAAAATTATCTCCAAAGTGCAATTGCATGAAAAAATTACCTACATTGTACCTCAACAAAAATAAGGCCAACACTAATTTATAATGTATCTTTCAATCACTTCATCCACCTTTCAGGTTTCTAGAGATGAGACAACTGACCAGCGTTCACAGCGGTACCATTTCCAAGAGAAGACTATTTTCATTACCCGTTTTACAAATAAAATATTAAGGGTGAGGCTCTGGTATTTCATTTCAAACAGTAATGGCCTATTTTTCCAACCATGAAAATGTTTACATTCTACGTAAGAATCCCAGCGATGGTCGTCTTAAGTACAGATCCCCAAATTCTTACACGCCTTCAGTTTGAACGTATTTCAACCAGTTCCCATAATTACTACAATATTACTATTATCTTAGTCTCACTGCCAAAAACCCAGCTGCAGGCTAACTATGCAAGAATGAGACACTGTTGAAATGACTCAAAAAAAATTTCTTTTTACCCTTAGTGCATTAAGTTAAATCCTGCAATTAAATAAAACCAAGCAACACACACACACACACACACACACACACCCACCCACCCTCTCCTGAGAAAGAAAGGAACCGAGAGAGAAAGAAACAGCAAGTCGTTCTTCCACCTCAGCCGGCAGCAGAGCTGGGGGCTGGGTTGGGAAGAGGGGGAAACTTGGAGGCACAATGAATCAACGAGGTCTCCGGGGCTATCGCCCAGAAAACCACAGGGTCACAGTAAGTTGAGCGCCAGCAGCGGGGAAGGAGCCGGCCCGGACCCGGGTTCGAGGCCCGCCCTTCCCAGCCTTGAGGGCCAGTGAGTCCTCATTCCGGGTCCGGGCGATTCCCCCGGGGTCCCCAAGGATTTCCCTCTTCCTCCTCCTTCCTCTCTCCCCCCTTTTGTTTTTGAGGCAATCGGCCCGCTCCCAAAGAGGCCGGCTGCGCTCCCCAAGCCCCCCAGCCTCCCTGCGCGCTCCAGCCTTGGGCCCCCCCGCCTCTCCGAGGCCCCCGAATCCACCGCCCTCCCCATCTTCCACAAACCCCCCCAGGCCTCATATCCCCCAAATCCCCCCCTGTTTACCCGAGCCCCCGGCCTCCCCACGTCCCCCAGCCTGCCGAAGCCCGGCGGCCTCCCCACAGGTCCGTCCTCCACCCATCGCCGTCCTCCCAGAACCCGCCCCCTCGTCGTTCCCCCCTTCCGTGGCCTCTCCGTGGCCTCCGGCCTCCCCACATCCTCGTCCTCCCGGAGCCCCCCAGTCCGCCCCACATCCCCCGGCCCGCCCGCACCCCGGTCCTCCCCACAGCGCCGCCGTCCCGGGGCCCCTCCCTCGTCCTCCCCACTTCTCTCCGGCCTCCCCACATCCTCGACCTCCCGAGCCGCGCGCGGGAGGGGCCCGTCTCCGCCGCATCCGCCGCCCGGACCGGCTGGTCTGCCCCGCTCGGCCCTCCGCCCGCGGGCCGCGGCCCTGCCAACCCCCAGCTCCAGGAGTCGGCCCGCCCGCCCGCGCCCCGGCCCCCGCCCCGGCCCCGCACTCACTCGGACCGCGCTGGGCGCCTGGAGGCGAGGGCAGACCACTGCGAGGCGGCGCCGCGAACGGACGGGCGGCGCTCC